AAGAGTCCGCGCACCTCCCAGCCAATGACGTGGTGAGGATCTCGACGGGCCGCCGACATATCTAATACAAAGCATTTCACCATAAAATTGTGTTATTCACATTTTTACAGCAACTCCTGTCTTATAAGGTGCAAAATGTATGTGAAAGAACACTAAAAATTGGTAAGGTCATGGTGTAAATTTGTGTGTAGTAGTTTTTACTATAACTAATAACTACTATCTTGACCAGTAATTCTGAAGAAGTGCTCAAATTTCTGACATTCATTTCTTGTGTTCTGCAATATTTAAACACTGTCACCCAGTTGTCACTTTAAAACTGAAGTTGCAGAAGCCTCGCTTTTTTTTAAGTTCCATTAACCAAATAAATTTTTAAAAAGTTTCCAGGATTACGGTCCTTCCATGAAAGTATAGCAGTTGGGCTAGTATGTGAATTTATAGTTTTGTTTTATTTTTCTTTAAAAGCTGTCAATTATTAAGTTCAGGAAGGAAGTATGATGTGCAAAGAACATGGGCTTTCAAGTCAGTGCTACGATTTAATTTCTAGCACTTCCACTTGCAGGCATCCCTATGTGGGTCTTTGGGTTTCCCCTACGCAACTTTTGTTTCTTCATCTGTAAAAAGGTAATACAGGTTCACTACCTTATCCAAAACCTTGAACTAGATTGTTTTGGAATTCAGAAATCTGGATTTTGGAGGGGAACACCCCAGCAGGGTTTGGGCCTGGAAACTTGTAGTCACAATACCTTAATATTAAATATGAATAGTCAACTAAGTTGGATTAATAAGACTATAAATAGCCTCACATTAGTTCAAGTTAGTTTTGCATTTTCATTTCTGAAGATTGCACAAATTAAAAAAATAAATAAATTTTAACCGTCAAATCAGGTCAGGTTAGGTTTTGCCTCCAAATGAGTTACAAAAACACTTTCGGTTTTCAGAGCTTTATGGATATCGGAATTTCGGATAAGGGATTATGACCTGTACTTCCTTATAGGGTTGTTATGAAGATTTAAACAAGATATGCTGAAAACACATTACGCAATACTGGGTAGTCTCAATAAATATTAATTTAAATATTAATTTTTTCTCTTGGAAATGTTAGTTTTGTTGTTTTTTAATTTATAATTCTGGGGTTGTCCATTCTTTTCTGAGTAGAAGCTATTCCCTTAAATCTTATGATGGTATTAGAGAGGGCTAGAGCCTGAGACTTGTTGAATGCAAGGGATGGGATGAGAAAGATAGCAACAGGTGAGGCTTAGTTAGAGCTTGGCTTTTAGTAACCAGTCTGGATTTCTACCAGGTGGGTCTTTCAAAATAACGTGTAGAATGAGCTTTTAACTGGTGGGGAAGTCATACTCTAACTTTCTAGAGTCTTAAAAGGAAACCTTGTGAGCCTCTTGTCACTGCTTCTTTGTCCACAGAGTGATAGAAGGAAGTCAAGGCACCATTATGACTCAGATGAAAAATCAGAAGCAAGAGAAAATGGTGTTATGGATAACCTGGATGCTCCCAAGCCCAAAAAAGCTAAAATGAAAGAGAAGCTAAATGGAGACACTGAGGAAGGATTTAATAGACTTTCAGATGAATTCTCTAAATCTCATAAGTCAAGAAGAAAAGATCTACCAAATGGAGATATTGATGAATATGAAAAAAAGTCAAAGCGAGTATCATCCTTAGATAGTTCTAGCCATAAATCAGGTGATAATAAACTGGAGGAGGTATGGATACTTTTATTTTCATTTGACATTATCCTCGAAATACAGGCTGATTTGATTTTTTTAGGCTAATCAGAATTGATTTTATAACATTTCCTGCTTAGTGTCTAGTGCCACTCAATTGGACTGAAGAGTCTTTTTTTTTTTTTTTTTTGAGACAGTGTCTCACTTTGTTCCCTAGGCTAGAGTGAGTGCTGTGGTGTCAGCCTAGCTCACAGCAACCTCAAACTCCTGGGCTCAAGCAATCCTACTGCCTCAGCCTCCCGAGTAGCTGGGACTACAGGCATGTGCCACCATGCCCGGCTAATTTTTTTTTTATATATATATCAGTTGGCCAATTAATTTCTTTCTGTTTATAGTAGAGACGGGGTCTCGCTCTTGCTCAGGCTGGTTTTGAACTCCTGACCTTGAGCAATCCCGCCCGCCTCGGCCTCCCAAGAGCTAGGATTACAGGCGTGAGCCACAGCGCCCGGCCCAAAACACTTTTTTTGAAACTCGTTTTCAGGTTGACGTGGCAGAGAAAGCACTGATCTCGGATTCTGAAGATACAGATTCTCTAGTCTTGACTGTGCCATTAACTGACTGTATGACTTCAGATAAATTCCTTTCTCGGATTTAGTTTCCTCTTATGTCAAATAGGAGCGTGTGGACTAAAATGAACCAAGGACCAACTGCGTGACTAAAACCTAAGACTTCAGGGACGGATGTCCATCCGGTCCCGGACTTCACTTCAAGCCCATCTGCCTCGCTTCAGACCGCTCGAAGTCCCTTCCCACCAAAGCCAGGCCTCTCTCTGGCCTCGCTCGAAGCCGTTGAACGTTAACGCCTCCCCCCGCAATGGGCGGGAGGAAGGGCTGCAGCTTCCGGCGGCGAATGGCAGGACAGCGCGTGGCGGTGTGCGCTCGCCTCGGCACGGGCCTGCTGCGTGCGCCGGCCCCTTTCCGCCGCCGTTAGGGGCTTCCCAGCCCCAGCAGTGCACACTGGGACGCCCCAAAGACTCGCCACGGTGCCGAAGCGAAGTGTTCGGAGTGGGGGAGGGGAAGAGACACCGAACCATTTATGCTAATCAGTGCGCACGTCCTTTACGGAGATTGGCCAGGGTTTTACTCTAGAAGCCAATCACTTCAGAACAAGGGTGGGCCCGTCGAGATCTCACACAGTCATTGGCTGGGAGGTTGCGGCGCTAGGGAAGAGTTTAAAACGAGAGTATCCGGGATTATTTTCCCCCCCCAACCCCCGCCGTGCGGTGCGTGTCCCGGAAGTGACGCACGGCCCTGACCGGGTGGCCGCCCTGCCCCCGCTTCCTTTCACGCTGTCGCTGCCCGTAGGTGGTTGTGGCCACTGTGCCTGGAGGGAGGCGACGGCGGCCAGTAATGCCTGGGAAACTCCTCTGGGGGGACATTATGGAGCTGGAAGCACCCTTGGAGGAGTCCGAGAGCCAGAGGAAGGAGAGGCAAAAGGTGCGCTTGAGGAAGGGCCGCGCCTCCTTTTGGGCTGCGCCGGCTTGGGCGGGGAGGGAAACTGTGCCTAATGATGGCTTGTCAGATCCCGGCCAGAGCATCCGAGGGCCTCCTTTCGCGCCGCCCTTGGCCCTATGAGGTCGCTCAGGGACCATTTCCACCTCCACGCTCCCGACCTGGACAAGGACAGTTCTGGGCTTTGGGCCGGCCCCCCTTGGCCCCTCATCCCTTCCTGTTGGCGCCTGAATCTTTCCTAGACGATGGGCATACTCAAGCTCCCATCACCACGAAATCTGTTCTTTTTTCCCTCTTTCTCAAGCCGCAAGGCCTGTCATTTGGTTCTCATTGGAGCCTTAGAAGATAATTACGAAAAATGATTGCCTTGAATATGTGTTACTTCCTTGTCACCTTGTCTTATGTGCGAGAATCTTGAGGAAAGATTTTTTTTTTACAAACCTCGATAACTAGTCTATAGAGGCTTAAGGAAAAGTGTCAGTCAGCGTTGCCAGGATTTGGCAGTGATGGAGATTGTGTCGGTTGTATTATTAATAGCTCTCACTGTCAGTATTTTCATTCAATCTGCAGGTATTTATTGAGCCTAATTTGTACCTTATTCTTTGCTGAGCACCAAGGAATTTAAACTAAATAAGTATAGGAAATGGCCTCTGCCTCAAGGTGCCCGTAGAGGAGTTGTAGAGACTTCTCTTCCCCGCCTTCAAAAAAAAGGAAAAGAAAGGGGGGAGGAATTCCAGAATAATTAGACGATCACATGGTCCTGAAAAATGCACAGGTATTTGACCTAGAGAAAAGAAAACAGAGCTGAGGATGCTGAGGTGGCAGTATTTGAAGGCTGACATTTGACAAAAAATGAGCTTTATTTTGTATAGCCTCAGAGAGCAGAACCTACCCTTCTGACCTTTATCATTAAGGTAAACTTGCCATTCCAGTCAACTAGTTTTCTTTTACTGTGGTAAAATATACATAACTTAAAATTTACCATATTGATCATTTTAAAGTGTATATTCTGTGGCATTAAGTATATTTACATTGTTCTGCAACCATAACTACTGTCTGTCTGCAGAATTTTTTCATCATCCCAAACAAACTCTGTGCCCACTAAATACTAACTCCCATTTGGCTCTCTTCCCACCCTTGGCAACCATCATTCTACTTTCTGTCTCTATGAATTTGACTACTGTGGGTACTTAGAGTGTAAGTGGAATCACCAAACAGTTATTTTAATTTTGGCTCATCTTGAAATACTTGTCTTTCCTTTTGCATCCAAATCCTATCCATCTGTCAAGGTCTAGTCTTTTCTAACCACTCTAGTGTACAGTAATCTCATTCCCCTTTGAATTCTTTCTCCAGTGGCTATCTTTGTCATTCAGTTGGCATTTGTTGTGTGCTTCCTTGTAAAGTTAGCTCATTTTTCCTGTGTGTATCTTTCCCAAATATTTCTCAAAGATTCTTAAGGAAAATGACCTTATCTTTTGTCCATCCTTACATTTCATTATATTCTTATAAGTTGATGGCTTTCATGTTGTCGGTTCTCCAGAAATATTTGTTGATTGCTCTTTATGAAGGATAACTGGAGATTAGGAAATGATTGTATTGGAATACCAACTAATAGAAGTAGAGCATGAGAATAGTGGTCTGGTAGTGAGGAAAGTAACTTTGGTTTGGATGTGTTGAGATATGGAACTGGTCCTTAGGTTCTTAGAATTGGAATGCAGGTGAGGATTGGAGTCTGAAAGTGTGTGTTGAAGCTATGAAAATGGTGTGAAAGAATACAGAAAGATTTAAGGAGCATCCACAGAAGGAGAAGGGAGAGGAACCATTGAAGAAGATGTGATAAAGGTAAGAGGATAAGAAGGAAATATGGAGTGTAAAAGAAACCAAGGAAACGGAGAGTGTCAAGTGCTGTGGGTCCAAAGTGGAATGATGTAATTCATCACCTTGGCATGTTGCTGGGCTTGGACTGAGAGTTCTCACTTTGCCTTGTTTCAACTTCTCCCTGAAGTGCAGGGCCCAGGAGCAATTCAAACCCCAAAGCCAACTCTATAAATAATCTTGTTTCTGTAGAACCTATTAGTTTGGGGAGATGTGGGCTAGTGCAGTTAACTAAAGATCAAATGATGTAACATGTAACTACAAAGCATTTTCACACATATTGTGTTATTCAATTTTTACAGCAACTCCTGTCTTAAAGGTGACAAAATTGTATGTGAAAGAACACTAAAAATTGTGTAAGTCATGGTGTAAATTTTGTGGTAGTAGTTTTTACTATAACTAATAACTACTATCTTGACCAGTAATTCTGAAGAAGTGCTAAATTTCTGAATCATTTCTTGTGTTCTGCAAATATTTAAACACTGGTCACCAGTTTGTCACTTTAAAACTGAAGTTGCAGAAGCCTGCTTTATTTTTTTAAGTTCCATTAACCAAATAAAATTTTTAAAAAAGTTTCCAGGATTACGGTCCTTCCATGAAAGTATAGCAGTTGGGCTAGTATGTGAATTATATAGTTTTGTTTTATTTTTCTTTAAAACATGTCAATTATTAAGTTCAGGAAGGAAGTATGATGTGCAAAGAACATGGGCTTTCAAGTCAGTGCTAGATTTAATTTCTAGCACTTCCACTTGCAGGCAATCCCATATGTGGGTCTTTGGAAAGTTACCTAACCCCCTAGAACTTTTGTTTCTTCATCTGTAAAAAGGTAATACAGGTTCACTATCCCTTATCCAAAATCCTTGGAACTAGATGTGTTTTGGAATTCAGAAATCTGGGAATTTTTAGGAGGGGAACACCCCAGCAGGGTTTGGGGCCTGAAACTTGTAGTCAAATACCTTAATATTAAATATGAATAGTCATACTAAGTTGGATTAATAAAGACTATAAATAGCCTCACATTAGTTCAAGTTAAGTTTTGCCATTTCATTTCTGAAGGATTGCACAAATTAAAAAAATAAATAAATTTTACCGTCAAATCAGGTCAGGTTAGGTTTTGCCTCCAAATGAGTTACAAAAAACACTTTCGGTTTTCAGAGCTTTATGGATATCGGAATTTCGGATAAGGGATTATGGACCTGTACTTCCCTTATAGGGTTGTTATGAAGATTTAAACAAGATAAGCTGAAAACACATTACGCAATACTGGGTAGGTACTCAATAATATAATTTAAATATATTTTTTCTCTTGGAAAGTTAGTTTGTTGTGTTTTTAATTTATAATTCTGGGGTTGTCATTCTTTCTTGAGTAGAAGCTATTCCCTTAAATCTATTGATGGTATTAGAGAGGGCTAGGCCTGAGACTTGTTGAATGCAAGGGATGGGAGATGAAGAAGATAGCAACAGGTGAGGCTTAGTTAGAGCTTGGCTTAGTAACCAGTCTGGATTTCTACCAGGTGGGTTTTCAAAATAACTGTAGAATGAGCTTTAAAC